CAGTGGTACCTCGGGTTACAAACGCCTCTGTTAACGAATTTGCTTCGGGTTACGACCAATTCAGGGTGCGACCAGAGTCACGGAATGAATTAAGTTCATAAACCGAGGTTCCACTGTACTTGAATCAGAGTTTTATGGGATTCTTCTTCAAATTATTTGTTAAAATCAAATTATGCACATAATACCCATAATCTACTAAGGCCGGGGTTCCCAAACTGTGGGTTGCAATTCCCCAGGGGTCATAAGCAATTTAGAAAAGGGTCACATTTTTTTTTTAATGTTGATCAAGTTTGTGCAAATAAAGTGGGAGTTCTTTCAAAACTTTTTCGTGCTTTCTCTGAGCACACCCACTGTGGGTTTGTTCAAGCAAAGCAGGAAGCAAAGCCCAGAGTTAATTTTAAGAGATGGCTAGGCTTAAGGGTCTAGCTTCTGTCAAAACTATCTGCCAATCACAATAGTTTTGTTTATTTTTTAGTTTTATTCATGATGGAGTTGCACAAATTCATGTATTATTTTAGAAGATCACAGTACTGCAGACTTTGAGAGAACCCCTACATTTACAGAAGATACCAAATCAAACATGAGGTAAAATTAGTTTATCGAGATGCATTCTTGACAAACCCATACTTATTTCTAATAATTATTCCACTGTTTTCAGTATGTTTACAGATTAACCACTTGGTGATCTCCTCTAGAGTCCTCCAAGCAACAGCAGACTGAATGGTCTGTACTTTCCTAAGGACAATATTTCCCCTTCTCTAGTACTGTACTCCCATAATTCATCCATTTTCCAGGATTTCTCAAAGATAATGAACAAAGGTTTGCTCAGATCATCAACAAGCTCCCTCAGTACTCTATATTGCAAACAATGCATGGGAGATTTGAATTCGATCAAAGTCAAGAGATAGTTTCTGCTTACATTCTTTGAAGCTACAGTACAAGGCACAGTAACTGAGTAACTCTCATTGCACTATATAGTGTTTTCTTAGAAGGAAACATATTTAGAATTTCATGATAACATTGTTTTGATTATTCATGACACAAATTCATGAATCTTGATCTTAAATGCATCGTGTATTGTGTGTGTGTGTGTGTGTGTGTGTATACAGACATATACATACATATGTGCATTTGTGTGTCTATAAGCATGTTTTTATGGCCTTATAACTTCATAAATCATCTTCCTGTATTTTTCTTCTTTAAACCCAAGCATCACATAAAAATGGTCTATCCAACCACTCTAGTACAAAAGTACAAACTTTCCCTCAAAATGTTTTGATGATCCCACAGGCCTATGAGGTGAAAGGGGCAAAGCCCTGCAAACAATATTTTCAATTGCAGCTGCCGTTTTATGGGATTGCTTCCCTCTCAAGATTAAGTTAGCAAATTCACTATTAGCCTTTGGAAAAAGGTTGAATGAATTTCCCAAAAGAATTCACATTTGGAGAATGACGACTATCACCACTGTATTTGCATTTTTGTATTTGTATTTGCATTACTTGTATTTTTACATCTGATTCATTTTATCCTGATGGTCTTATTGCTAAATGTTTTATAGTTTCATGATGCAACTCACTAGGAGTCAACATGGATTCCAGCAGTACAGAACTACAGTAAATAAATAACCAGAAGCTACAGATACCTGAAATCAGAAATATCTTATAAACCCAGAGAAAACGATACAGACAAAGCGAGCCACTCGGAGTTGAAAGAGAAGCTGAAACAACAGCTTGAAGTTTCCACGAGTCTGTCGCTTTAAGAAGCCGGACGGCGTTGTTAGGCAACCAAAGTACAACAAAACCTGCGGCCTCCAAAGAGCCTGGGTGAAAGCAGACCACGCAGTGTCTCCATCGGCACCCCAGTTTCTTAGGCGAACGTTTGGACTTAAAGGGGCAATTCTACGCCCACCCCAACCGAAGGGGTCCCTCGGGCGCTTCTGCCAGCCTTCTCCAAACCCCTACGGGATATGCAAAGGAGCTCCCTTCATCCCCGGGCTGCCTGCTACTTCGGGTCGATATTTAACCCTTCCCCATGCGGGGGAGGGGGTGGCGGAAAAGAGAAACGGGCTTTCTCGGCGCACGCTTGCACCCGCCAGCCCTCGTCAGCATGAGACTTCCCCGGGGCTGGAGCAGGACGCGTCTCGCGGCCAGTCTTCGGAACTGTCCTCGCCCGAAGCTCACCTCGTCTGCCGCCCGCTGCAGAGGCCCAGGCCCCCGCGGGCGGTCCCGCAGGGGGCCCCCCCCCGCTTTCCCTGGCCCAACCCAAGCCACCTCAAGCCCGCCCCCCCCCCCAGAGC